TTTTTTTTTTTCCACTCAGGGCTCGCATGTCTATGACAGACCGTGGCTTATCATTCATGGAAGGCTTCCTTCCCATGCTCTCATTTCTTGTAATGATTTTTCTGTTTTCTGCCTGGGCTTTCCTGTCTCCTGCTGGCATCCTAGACCTTCAACCACGCCTTTTTTTCACAGCTACGGGAATTGTCTTCTCCAACATGACAGTGAGTAACTAAGAAGCTTGTCAAACAAGAACAATGAGCACTACACCAGTAGATCAAGATGCAACTAGATATTAAGCAATTTAATTTTGATACATTGTTGTACAGTTAAGCCTCAGTGCATGATGATCACATGAGCCTTGATAAAATAGACTTCTTGATTATATATCGTCTCAACTATTTGCTATGATTTTCAGCCAGCAGTAGATTTTTCACAGGTCACAGTCATTTTTCAGTTAATGTACAGTGATGTACGTGTACCAAAACAAGCTGCCAATACGAGTAATCACAGTTGGGTTTGTTTGTCCTCGCAAGTGAAGACACAATGATAATTTTAGTCACACGAAATGTACGGTTCAGGTTTCAACAAGTTTTACTTAGTTATTGCTTTCTGTGAGGACATCTATGGTTGCTGCTGTATCTAGAACATAAAAATGATCACTTCCACCCATATTTTGCCATAATCATCTTCAAGATAAAGAGTTCGTCATTTTACATTGTCTAGAATAAACAAACTCGACCACAGTTTGGCAGATTTTTATCACTTGTTTGCCTCCTGAGAAACCTCGTGATATCACTTTTATCCCATCAGTCCTTAAGTGTAAGCAGAGATGGCAGGCATGGTGAATAAGATCTATTTATCATACAGCACGCATCCAGACTCGCAATCTGTAGTCTGGATCTCGCTTTCAGCAGAAATAATATCAGGGAAATGAACAGGGGTGTTGATTCCATGCATTGTTTTTTTAACCTTCCCAGTGCCGACTGATTGTCAGTACAATGAGCAGTCAGAGATGTCAGCCATTCAATGTTATGTTGTATCCTGTCTGTGGCTTTTTAGTGATTGTACCATTCATCAAATCAGTTGAAATTGAAGTGGCCCTTCTTGTTGTCTACACTGCTGGAGTAGCCATTTTGCATCTTGATTATGGCATATTTGTGGTAAGTTATGACTGCACTATTGGTGTTTCCACTAGCCCCTCATTGATTTGCATTTTCTGATTCATACTCTTTGTAATTTCTTGTTTTGTTATATTTATTGTATCCCACAATTTTTGCATAAGGAAGGTCACATGACTGCAAACTGCAAAGGGCCTATTGATCACTACAGAAAATTTCTACTTCTCATGGCCTGCCGCATGTTGGATTTTTGAAAACTACATTTTTTGTACACGTAACATCTGACATTCTGCCCGGATAATTCTTCATTTGAATGCCACAAGTTGGCAGTTACAGTGTATGTTATGATGTGAGTGCTTATGCAACTTTCCCGTAGCCAAATAATCACCAACAAAAGAATGTTTTGTTTATTAATATTTTTGTTATATTTTTACTTTTTTATGGGGGCAATATTTGCATTAATTGTTAAAGTTGCCAATAGTGCCCTCAAATGTGCAAACAGCCAGTGGCAGATCCAGATCTTGAAGGTGCAAGGGGGCTCTCTACCTGAAACAAAGTAACCAAAGTAAACAGCATGAAGAATACATTAATCACTGTTAATATTAGGTCCTATAGGGGTAAAGTGAGAGAGGTATTGTATTTTGAGGCTTATGTCTTCTTTCATAGGTTCGTGAACTGTGTGACCACCTTCACATCAACTGCTTTTCAATCAGAAGATCCTGATGATAACAGAATTTAATCAATAATTATATTATTAATTAATTTATCTATTATCTATAATGTGGAAGAAGCTCGTAAGGTCAGTTGGTGATAAAGGAATATGAAGGCTGTGCTCTAAGAAAAATTCTAGGGAGCCCAATGCTCTGAACCTGTGAAATCCAGGGTGGGTGCCTAGCAAATGATTTATATGTAAAGATTGTCATCAAAATATTGGAACATACAAACAGGCAAGCTTGCTGGAGATGCCTGGTGGGTAATCGTACCTAGATTGTTTTGCTCACTTAAATCTTGGCTTTTCGAATACAGGCCCAGTAAAAGTTTTATTTGTGAGTACAGCCAGACGGTGTACTGTTGTCTCCAAAACCTTCAAATGTATCTTTGAAAAATTCAGATTCCCTGCATGGTTTGCATGTGAAATCTACAGTAAAAAACCTAACAACTAAATTATTGATAAAATCTCTTAAAATGTTGGTGTAGATTACACTGACAACCAATGAACAAAATCAACCTAGACATTAATTATTGTTGACAGGTAAACTCAATGATAGGCTAGGCATTCATGGTGTTGACATTTTCTTTAAAAAAATCATGTTGATTTCAGAGGTGTAGCTAGCAAGAGGCAAGACGAGATTTTAATCCAAATTTGTTCGTTTGTTTTTTAAACAAATACGTTTAGTTAGTGAAAATAATCCTCAGTATAACAAGGTCTATTTTCATTAAGAAAGAACTTAAACCTGAAAACAGTGTTTCTAGACCCCCCTTGGTGGATTTCTTATTAGACAGTCACAGGTCTTGCCTTGTTTAAGGGTCTTGCTCTTGTCTAAAGGATGTTTATTTTGAAGAGTGATAAGAGTACAATAGGTGTATTTGTTTTTTGTAACAACAAAAACCATTGTTAAATTTGAAATTTGTAGAATCGTACAGTTATATGGTAATAAAATTATATTATTATTTTAATAGAACTGTCACCAAAGTTCCTATTTATAATTATGACCAAATGTACGAATGGCACTTGTAGTTTATAGAATGTTTTATTTAGACTGACTTAATTTAGGTGCACTTAAGGTGGTTGGGTTGACAGGATTTCAAGTGCAACTCATTGTCATGCAGTGATTTTGTTACCTCTGCATCCAGCATCCCTGACACATAAAAATCCCCAAAGACAAAATAATTCATGGCATGCATCCTGTAGGACGTAAAGATCACCCAATTGATCTGAACGTGTGTATTTTGTAAAAAAAAACCCGTTCGTGTAATTTCTGTGGCAGTTATTATGGCTGCTGTTTAACGATGCATATTTCTTTTGGCCTTTGTTGTGTTTCAAAATAGAAAGACTATATTTTAATTTCAGTGTACTGTAATACAAAGTTTTAGAGTCTGTCTTCAGATTAACTGTTTGGTTACATAAAGGCAGAACCATTTTCAAATTTGGACGCATTTTTTTTTTTAACTACACTGTAGGACTCATTGGTTCCGGACCGGGACTCATGATTTTTCACAAGAAAAGTCCCAGGACTCACCATAACTATTTGTAACAAAATCACTGGTCATGGTATAAAAAGATTAAATTTTGAAAAAATTAAGGTGTTTCAGACCAGTAAATTAAACTATTGTTTTGTGAGCTAAGTGAAAAGTTAGGGGTGGCAAATGTTAAACTCTGAGACTGCTGCAGAACATTAGACTCCAAGATGGAAATGATGACACAAAATCTAGACCTCAAGAGTGTCCAGGGCTTGAAAAGAGTCCCTTCCAGTAGTAGTAGTAGTAAGATTAGTACTAAGATTAGTAGATTTTCTTGCTGAAGTAACTTTTAACTCTCACTTGCCCAGTGGGCAAGGTTCAAACAAAATGTGAGAGCTGCATGCCCAAAGGACAAGCTGGAATTCAAGTTTTTTTTAGTCCTGGTGTCTACCTTTAACTTGGACAAACCAGTTAGTTCACAGTTTGGGCAAATGGTAAACCAAATTCAGGAAAATTATTTTCGGGGTTTGCTCTTCTTGTTGCACAAATTAGTCTCATATTTACCAAGAAACAGGTGTGAAAGTCTGAAACTCGTGTCAAAGCTGGGTTTCAAGAAATGCAACATGAATGTCCATTGAACGTTTCATCCAGGTAGGACATCAAGTGGTATTTTGCCATCCACAAAGTAATAATGAGACAATATTATTATCAGTTACTTGTACAAACGAAAAGCTGCCCATGTAACTTGAGGCTTGTGTGTTCCTGTCCTTTAAGAGAAATTGTTACTTCAAAATAAAATACTGGCACCACACCATGGATTTAATTTGTCTGTCTTTTATTATTTTCATAGGCTATTTTTAATTTTAAAGAAAGAATTTTTTTTTCTTGCCCATCCCTTCACATAAGACTTAAGCTTCATGCCTCCCTCACAATTCGCACTTGCTTGTGAAAACACATAAAAAATAACATCTGTTCTGCTCGCTGCTAATACAACTTTCTTCCATATTACATAAATTTGAATCTGTATCCAAATGGATTTTAATAATCTTCCACTTTGGAAGCGAAGTCTTAGTCATATATATTTATTTACCAAGGGCAGAATCCTGATCTACCATTGATAATTTCATCAGCAGCTTGAGCTATACAACTCCTCTGTCTTGAAAAAATATTGTATGTTAGACATATGTTGTAACATGGAGCAGCATTCTTGGTTTGAGGGAGACATTTAGAATGAATATGAGTTTAATCCAGCGGTGTGTCTAACCAATATCAGTAAAATTTTTCACATGGTGCAGAAACTGTTGTTGGTTAGCTGATTTGTTCATGGTGTGGTGACATTCAAAGGAATGTAGTTTTTGTCATTTGGTGAACACACCAACAAACTACTAATTGATGTCCTTGTGTTGATTATGGATTGGAGGCTAGGTATCCATTCAGGCTTGGGAAAGACCGATCTCTTTTCTGCTGTTTAGTCTTGTGAGTTTGACTTGAGCAGAAAGCTTGTTATGTTGGTTTCTTGGAGTTATAGACCTTTACTCCTGTTGCATCTTTTGATGATCGAGCAAACTTCATAAGAAGAGCATTCAGTGACTGCCCAGGTGCCACTAGATTTCTGAATAGAAATGATGGAAAATAATGTTGTCATAGGAACAGTGTACTGCGAACTGAAAATATCAAGTGAGAAAAAAAAATAAGACAGTCAAAGCTCTGGTAAGTGGCCACCCAAAATGCAAAGATTTAGTGGTTGCTTACGGGAATCAAACCACAGGGGATCGCGTCCAAAAAAGTCCTAACACATCTATATTTTGGCAAAGAATTCATTGCATGCAATTTCTGATTGACCACATATGTAGTTCCATGTTGAAACTACAGGTTGTTTGTGTACTAAGTAGTGTAGTATAATATACAGCGAATGTAGAGATCATACATGCCTCAGGCAGTTGCTTACTGGAAGATAAAAATCAATGAAAAGTTCCACAACTGTCATACAGAAAAGTGATTGTGGTCGCTTCAGATAGGTGGTCATTTATGAGAGGGGTTTCAATAATAATAAATAATATTTGCAGTAATTTGACTAGGGTAGTTTAGGCATTTTGGGTTGATGATGGCTTATGGGAGATCTAGGGTCACTTACAAGAGGTGGTCACACTTGGATCAAGTTTGACTCTATTCACAGAAAGCATTTCTCAAGACTAAAAGGGAATAAGAAGTTCAACTACAAAATGCATCATTATAAATTTTAATAAAAACAATGAATTACAAATAATTCAAATTCAAAATATTCCTTGAGGTTTGACTCTAACCTTACATATGGCTCTATTTCTTCAAGTGTCCATTTGGGTTGCACTTTAAACAGTTTCATAAATCTGTTTAGAAGAAAACAAAAAAAATATTAATGATTGAAGGTCATTCCTATGAAACAGAACCTAAAGTAAGATGTTTTTCAAACTTTACCTATTTATAGTTGTGTAACTGATGAAACTGAAAGGGGGGAGAGGGGGGAGGGTCCTTCACACTCATAGGAGTCAAACCTATGAGCTTCTGGTTACAAGATTTAATGGAGGCAGTGTGGCTGAGTGGTCAGCACACTGGACTCACAATCTGGCAGTCCTGGGTTTGAGTCCTGCTCTGGGGCCCATTTCTCGAAAGTCCTGGTAACTTTACGGGCCCGAAATCAAATATTCAAATCAAAATATAAAGAATAAGAGCGCGGGTCCTGGCTAGCAAACTACTCCATTTTGTTTCATTAACTGACAGTTTTATCATGTTAGATGCAAAACTATTGAAACCTCGATCTTTAATGTAAACAGAGACAGCTTACCGGGCCTGTTAATTATCGGGACGTTTGAGAAACGGGCCCCAGGCCACTTACTGGATTTGTTCTTGGTTGTCCCAAGTTCAAATCCTTGGCCACACTTGTAAATTGCCAACTGGTTGCCTCCTGCCTGTTAGGGTTTTTAATGGGGTTTTCAATCCATTTATGTTGTATTTGAATTATTTGTTTCAAGGTATTGGAGCAGAGTGCCTGTAAACTAGCTGGACAAGCTAAGTATAAACAAGCCTTTAAAACCTTTTTTTAAGTACAGATGCTCTACCATTACTAAGCTACAGGAGACTCAAGGAAGCTAAAGCCACTAATTAAGACTTATGGTAACTTAAGTTTATCAGTCTTGAGAAAATACTCTATGTTCTATCATGAGTGCAGTCTCTACCCACTCACCTCAGTGCTGGATCATCAGGGAGTTCTGATGCAGGGAAGTGCCAAATGACAGGAGGAATACTCTTCATGTCTGTCAAAGCTATACCCTAAATGTAAAAGAGAGCAATTTTTGACTTTGCATATATTTTTGACCGCCTATAAGTGGAAAACCTTTGGGGCAAGAAAAAGCATCAATTTATACACTTGAGGGAGGTAAAAACTGTACTATTTGAATGTCACTGGCACTATGTCTAAGGGCCTGTTTATATGTTGTTAGCCAGCTCAGTTAGCTGGACGTGCCTGTTTTACCGGTAAGGCTTAAAGTAATGACTCATGCCTTGTTTATTCTTAAAATTTTTGTTGTGTTTATATGAGAGGGCAGGCCGGCCAACATACAGAAACCTGGGCTTTACCAACTGGGATCTCCGCAAGCAGGCTAACCTGCCTACTCATGTAAACACAATAGGCTGATTTAGCAACAGAACGGGAACGTCAGTTGACGATGAGAAAGTGCACGGAAAGGACTAAATTCAACTTCCGGTGCCCAATTTGCCGCTCTGCCGTTGGTCAAGCCAGTTGTTTGATTTGCATGTGCCGTTGTCAACTAGCGTTCCCATTCTGTTGCTAAATCGGTCTAACAGATTTATGAGAAATTAAGGACAAGTTGAGCCATCCTGGTGAAACAGGTCAGTCCGGCCAACCAGGCTGGCTCACCAAGGTTTTAGCCAGAAAGGTGTCCAGCCGTCCTATGGACGCCCATTTTTGGAAGAAACACAAGGAAAATTCACCTAATGTCTTATACGTTTTGGAAAAACATGCCTTCTGGACGGCCAGTTTTCAATGTCTGGCTAAAAGCCTGTGGCTCACCTCATATAAACAGGCCCTTAGTGGGCTGAAAGAAGGTGTACTTTAGAGGAGGTTTCAGATGAGTGTATTTTAGTCTAGAAAGAATTGACTAAAATGTATTATTAGGGTAATCAACTGCTCAAAGAACAGCAACTGTGCACTACGATTGGTCTTAACCCACACTATGCAAGTTAGACACACACCATGGGACATAACAAAGGAGACTACTTACTGATAGATGTTCAGATTTTGTGCTCATTCCTTCTGGAACACTTTGCTGCCAAGACTCCATAAATTCATGGTAATTAAACTACAAAAGAGAGTCAGGACTGGTTTATTAAATGATTGTTATAAATACACCATCACTTCATACTTGTAGAATCTCCCAATCACCTTAAACAAGGTCAATAAGCATTATCAGTTCTTACCCTCCCTGCTTGTCTTAAAAGATACTCAGCATAAAATCTACATATCTTGTCTTCTAAGAGTCTGTAGTGAACAGTGCCTTCACCTAATAAGAGAATTAAGAAACAGCATAAAGGAAACCAGTGAACCGATATTTTGTGCACAATGTTAACCTGCCCTGTCACATTCACCTCATAATCTTGACCTTTTGTATTGTCAACAAAGTCACAGATTTTACATTTTAAGACTCCTTAAATAGTTTTTCCCTAGTTTGTCAGGAATAATAAATTGGTTGGTCATTCACTAATGGGCTTGAACAACATTCACATTTGTTTGATTGAACTTCCAAAACTTACTAATAATTCATAAACAAAAACAAAAGAAACTAATGTTTAATGAGTGTCTTTAGATCTGATAAAGACATGGCTTAACTTTAAGTCCCATTTTTTAAACCAAAATAACCCCAAATCTAAATATTAGTGCAAGAATTAGTTGATCAATATCAGAGGTTTTGAAGCTGTTAAAAAACCCACAATCATATATTATCAGGTGCAAAAATTCTCCGCTTTGCCTCGAGTTTATAAACCTGATACACTCCTGCTCCTTTTTTAAACAGTACTTAACTATGGGATAATAAAATTATTAACCTGTGTCTGAATCCATGTCTGTTATTTCACCATAGCAATTGAGACAATGCTCAAGAATAATTCTGAAAGAAAAAAAAAATGAAAGAGAGGAAGTAATTTCACTTTCATCTATGGTCCATTTGATTTCTTCACTGCAGAAAAGATCAGTATAGGGAAGGAAAAACGGATAGGACAGAGACCATGTCATGCGTCATTACTGACAGTTTTTGGGAGAAAGGGAGCAATAACTCTGCTCCTTCATAATAAAATAGACTGTTATCTCTCATACATGTACCTTGGTTCAAGTTCCTCCAAAATATCACAACATTCTTTTGCTGGTATTGCTTCATAACTCCAGTCTTTCTCTTCCAGTAAAGAAAGAATCCTTACCACCACATGTTCCTTGTAGTCAGCATCTAGAAGGCGCCAGTGACCTAACAAATGAAACATGAAACAATAATGTAGAACAGTTCACTGTTCACTTAACCATTAACATTTTTAACTTTCTTTTGCCAGCTGTATCTAATTGGAGCACTAGGCAAGGTTTAAATTACTTGTGGTTCATTTTTCCTCAAACATAATTTGGACAAAATTTGTATTTAATACAGTAAATGATTTGAATAAGTGACTGGGTACTTATTTCATTTTCTGACCAGAAATGGGGGCACTAATACGAGGGGGGAGGCAAAAATTCAACCCTTTCCAGTATGCAGTTTTGTTGTGACCTGTGATGTTGCCATGGCAACCAAAATGAAGAGATTTGTTTTAAATTCTTTCAAAAGAATTGAACTCTGTCACCCTGCTCAATGATGTTGTTCTTTTGTGATAAAACTTAGTGACGGCTATGTATGCTGTTCAGTATAGTAGGGTCATGTAGGTAAAAGGAATCTACTGGATGCATCACTCTTAAACTTGGGTGATTTAAACTCACCATCAATTTCTAGAGCCTCCATTTTCATTAATGCATCAAGAAGCTCAGCTTTACTTGCCTGAACTTTGGAAAGTAAGTCTGAAAGGGTGTACTGAAAAAAAAAAGAAACATTATACGTTAATATAATACTAACAAGGGTTATTTGGGAGCCTACCTGCCTTTGCATTTTCTGCATTTTTTTTCATTATTTGTGGTGCCCTACAATCAGATCCACATATATCCAATATTAATAACAACTGATTTGCTGACTAAGGTGTTGACTGGTATGTCGGTAGACATCCCCTATGAGACAAAAGATCCAAAAAATGTTCATTGGGAATCATCATGCAATGCCCAATAACATACCCAAATTCTCTAAATCTTGGAAAACGTACACGCTGTACATGTAAACACTCTTGAGATCTATAAAAATGTTATTAATTTGTCCTGTCAATAATGTATCCTAGGGACAGAGTACTCCACAAAGAACAGATCTTGAGTCATAAAGAGAAGCATTAAAATAATGAGTAGGCTGACAAAAGTCCATGAGCATGCAATCATGCTGCACATCACAATAAATGTATCATGTTGTTGTAGAAATCAACTGCAGCAAATTACAGTCAACTCCCCTTACAGCAGACACTGTAGGGACCTTGAGTTAATGTCCTCATTAGCAAGAGTCTGTAATGGCAGGAGTTTATATCAGTCAAATGTTGGCTATCTATTTTTGCCTGGGATTAAGCTGCTGTCTGTATTATTGGGGTGTCCATTATAGCAGGGTGTCCACAAGGTCAGAGTTGACTGTATGTACGAAAGTACTTTAAAGAATGTCTCAGTGGTCTTTTACTGACACATGAAGTAACACACCAGGGTATTTCTGTTTGTAATGTTTTCCTCTGCTATGTCCTCAAGATTTGTTTCATTTTCTGGTCCTTTGTACAAGTTTTCAGAGAGAAGATACTTGAGCTTCCCCAGACGCGGTCTGCTATGTTTAACCTCAAAGTATGTTGTATGACAACTGGAAACCTGATGAAAAAAAATTGATTTATTTGGATTTATTCGGTTTATTAGCTCTATTGAATACCATTACATCCAGGATTGAGCCCTGTTACAAGTATTTTAAAAATGGAAAATTTGCAAAGCTCCAAGAAAACAATTGTATTTTCTCTATGTTATCATCAACAGCATTCTTAGCCTTTCCTGTCAACAACCATCTCTATTTAGTAGTGATACTTTTAGCTAAGGATTAAGCTACTTGTCAAAGGTTCATTCATTTTGTTCAGTAGTAATATTTATACGTAGTAAATAAAACTAACCTCCCTGAACACCAGTGGAGAGACTTCAGATTGGAATTCTGCAGAAAAAGGATCTTGTCTAAGATTTATTTATTTGCCACAAAAAATAAATTAGACAAAGGAAACTACTGATTTTTAATTTGTTTGGGTTGTTTGCTTGGCCCTCCACTTGCCCTTTAGTTGCCCTATAAATACCACTGAAGAAACCATATAATTATTTTATGGTTTCTATATTTATATGGTTTCTTCATCAGTATTTATAGCACAACTAAAGGGCAAGTGTGGGGCCAAGCAAGTAACCCAAGCAAATCTTAAGACACTAGTTTCTCGTTAAAGTATTTCCTTAAAGTATTTCTTTATGTTAGGTAAATTCATGGTTAGTCATCCCCAGCCAGTGGGGATTCTTACTTGTTATGTTTAATTATTTTTAATTAAACTTTGGGATTTCTGAGAAACAAATCCAGCTAGGGATTGGGGAGGGACCCTTGGTCTCCTGACTGGAAGGTCTGGCACTTGAACCACTGCCTCAAATACATTACGTCATGTGCAATGTTGATTGTAGCAATTAAAATAACATTAATTCACCTACTAACCTTTATCTTTGAACAAGATGCATTCAGGAACAAGAAGAAGAGAATTTGAAGTATCAGCCATTTTCAAGTCAAATGTTGCTTTCTCTGTGCACAAAACAGCCTCATCTTGGTGATCACCTCTGATAGTCACACTGCAATTTCATTTGTTTCTAAATTTAATGTGACATATTTTGTAATCACCCGTCCGTTTCATGTCATTATGCACAAGTTTTAATAAAAAGGCAATAACCCCATCACCTAACATGAGTGATTAAGGTATTTGACAGATTCTCTTGTAGGACAACGTGTGTAAAGTGGGCTTTAGTAAAACTTGTGAAGGTCAACAGCTGTGAAGGACAAAACCTGACAGCCATCATGAATGCATCACATGACCATCATCCATGACTATTGTGATCTATATTAATCAATTACAATCATTTGGGTATAGGTGAGCCACTGAGGGTTTGCAACCCTGACCCTGTTTAAGACAAAGGACAAAGGACAAAATGCACTCTGTCTTGTTTTAAAGCCATTTATCGGCAATTGCAGTAGAACAAATTCATGTTATAGTCATTGCTTTTGTATACTTGCAGTACAAACAATTTCCATCAAACAAATCAAATCAATTGTACAGCATTACCCTGTTTTTAATTGGGACAGACTCGTGCAAAATCATGTACCCTGTTTAGGATAGACTCACCAAAATTATATACCAGGACAGAGATAGAGGATATTACATGGCCGTGCGGAGATACGAAATTTCTCTTTGAGTGTTGAAAAATATTTCACGAGTGAGTGCAGCGAATGAGTGAAATATTTTTTCAACACGAGAAGAGAAATCCCGTATCTCCAAGCAACCATGTAATGTTCTATTTATTATATAAACACCAATGAAATACCAAACCATTTCACTTTAATAGTTTTTTGGTGTGAAAGGCGCAATTCATTATGTAGCCACAGCAACACTGATATTTTCACATGTGAAGATAACATTTCAAATCAATTCAAAGTAGACAAACTGCAAATTATAGTGGTTGCTAAAAATATATCTACATGTCCCAACTGTCCATCAGTAGGATGCCTAAAATGCGTGCAATTCCACAATTGGTTTCGGCTCCATTAAATCCTATACCAATGGCAGAACATTTTAGGAGGAGCCACCCACTGTGTGAGAACAGTCGCGAACAACGCATATAAGTGAGGAAAATAACGCAAAGCAAAACTAAGACGTTATTAAACGAACTAAATGTATACGTAACTTAAATAAATAAATAATGCACGTGCCAAAAATTGAATTGCGCGCGCACATGTGAAGATATCAAGTTTTCGCATGAAAGCTCACCTGGTATTTCATTGGTGTTTATATAAT